GAATTGAGAGCAGCATTTCACAGCTGAATTTCACTATGTTTGTGAAAGTTTCCTGAGAAAAGTAGCTGCAGAGTTTATATCAACTTAAATCCCCAGGCAAAACATCCAATAGCACAGGTAATCCTATGTATACATGAAACTATTATGCATTTTTATTCCAAAAGTACTGTTGAAATAGCTGGCCATTGCCATTAGACTAAGTTCATCATAAAAGATTTAGCCTTCAGTTGGTCACCAATTATTATTAAACTCTAGGTAGTACAGCTGTAATAATGTTCTATAGTTTTTTAAAAAGAAATATTAGAATGATCAAAAATTACTTATTATGTGAGGCTTTTCGTACCTTATATACTCTGTATCTGGGTATATCAGTAAAGTCAGTCTCACCAGATTATTTTTACACTGCTTATTGCTTGTGGACACTGTAGAGACAAGGCAAATGGTTCCCAACTTTCATGAATGAAACTAGACAGAATACTGGAAAATTGTCCAGATTTGCCAGCTGCTTCGTTCAAAGTTCAAAATTGACAAATAAGTGTATTTTTTCATTTCTTTCAGCAGACTGATAACCTATCACCTCTATTAGCCACAAGTGATCACTGCATAGACTCTGTTCATTTATTTTTCCCCTTAACTTGAGTTTTTCCCCAGTACATATAACGTATCCTTTGGAAAAAAAAATGGCTTTGTGACCACACAGTCAGGCTGCTGAGCGTTCTCAGAGCCAGCAACCATTCCAGCTCCTTCTTTCTGACGAATAATGCCCATTTAAATGAGATCCAGTTGAGATTCAAGCACTATTTTTATCCTCGTGCTTATCTACCAGTGCTATTTCTCCTGACAAGACAATCTAATCATTTCAGATCCGAAATGACATTTTTGATTGAAAAAAATGTATTTTCATTACTCATTATGCTTCTCACTTTTCTGCTTTTCTCCGGATACTTCAATTGGTCTTTTCTGTATGTATTGGAGTATGGAAAATAAACACAGGTTGCAATTAAAGGGAAAAACCAAAGAACCTATAAACAAAACTATTTAAAAAAACAATTAAAGAATGACTGAAAATGAATCATGCTTATGTTTACTTCCCCAGATATTACAGCAAACAATTTTATTGGGTAACACCAGGTGAACAATTATTTTCTGGTAATATTGAAGATATTTGTGGGAATCGTTTTGCATTTTTCTGGACTAAAACTAACTTTAAGTATTACAACAATCTAGCCAACCCACAAACAATAAACTAAATTTTCTTTGATGTTTTACTTTAAAAATCAGTTACATATAGTAATATAAATGCATGCCTAAAACCTTTCTCAGAGGAAGAAACGTTTTGTTGACCAGTTATACTGTTCCAAGAAAATGAATACCAGATAGGCAAACTGGAATAACTTTAGAGAAGAACATAAAAATGTGTTTGGGAACAGAAAAGACTGACTTTCCAGGAAAAGCTTTTCATGCAAAAGCCATTTGATTAAACAACACTGACTACACAACTACCTGTAAGCCTATTGTGCTGTCTGAATTAAGAGCTTGCTTTTCAGGGTTCCCCAGGGGATACAGCTAAAAAGATTCATATAAGCAAAGTTACTTCAAACAAGAAAAATCACTGACAACACAGAAAACATGCAAGTTGTATTAGCAAATAAATAAGTAAAACAGAAAGAAGACAACAGAGAGAGTAATCTGTTTTCCTGCACAGTGTTATCTAAAGGGTCTCCCAACATTCATGGCTAAAAGCTAGCCTGGAAAGCACTCAAGAATCTACTGTAAGGAACAATAATGTACTGGCCAGAGCTGCAGATGATCTAATAGGTTTGCAATTATGTCCTTACAAAGAACAAGTGCAAAAAGCTACAGCTGATTTTTGAAAAAAATTGGTCAGTTAATAGAGCTATAGGATTTAACTGTAAGCACTTCAAATAACATATGAACTTCAATTCAGCAAAATGGTAAAATTTCTCCTTTAGCAGGGCTTTTTGATTCCCTTCTAATTGTCTGAGATACTTTTGCTAACTTTTTTTATGTTCAGAAAATGCCCGTCTACGCACGGTATGACTCACTTGCAGGAAAAAAAACATAACTGCCAGATTACAAAGTTACAGAAAGGCTACAGTATCAATTCATTTCTCCTTTGTGATTCACACTGTTACAAATTTCAGTGCTTATGGGAAGACATATAGCACTGAAGTGGAAACCTCTTAATAAAAGTATGAAAAAGTCATAACAAATTGTTTCTAAAACAATACTGTTGCAGCTGACTGGGCACTTCAGAAATAAAGTCTTAATCTATTTTTTAAAAGAGAGAATGGAAACTGACAGTTCCCTACTAATATCCAGTCCATTCTGGCTTCACTAAAGCTTATACAATTATCACTTTATTTTTCAAAATATCAGAGTTAGCTGGATTAAAGACAGCTCTGCTACGTGTATCCATACTGCGAGTCTACTTTTAGCAATCGGCATGGTCAAACCATGATGGACACCTTCTCCCATGCAACTCTGGGTTGAGACAGTTTGCATACCTGTCTTTGTATAGGAGAGCAGGACTGATCTTCAGAAGCTTAAGCACCACCAATAATCAACTGAAAAATTATTCTGATTAGATCACAACTCCCCAGATCAGATTCCACCCATTCCTATTTTGAAATCTGTATTTTCATGATTGTCTGGAACCAAAATGTAGTATTTTATAGCACTGACAAATTTCAATTCAGATTGTTTTCTCTATAGCTCAAAAAAACCTTTGAAGATAATAGCTATCAAAAGCTGTTTAAGACAAAAGCAAAAGTATAAAAATGTCACAGGAAAAATGAGGATCTTTGCTTGTGGAACTACTGAGAAATTCAGGTACTCACTGTTCTCCTGGGTCACCAGGGCTACCACGGCCAGGTTTCAATATATCAAGTCCCATATTTTAAAACAGAGGAATTTTCAATATTTAGAAACAATTGCATTTCTTGTTTTCACTACCTTTTTTTTCTCCTGTCAAACTAACTCTGCTTCCAAAAGAAATCACCACAGTTAAATGAACCAGCTGCTATCCCTAAGAAAAGGCCAACATGTAACTAAGCAACAAAATAGGAGAAATGGGAACATTTTATAATGTGTAGCATGGAGCCTTCTCTTTGTAACTGGTAATATTTACTACCCTTACAGCACACACACTTCCAAGTAAGTATCAATCTCACTGTTTCCATCTTTAGCTGACATAGAAATGAAATGTATTACTAGTACTAAAAGTTCTTAACAAAAATAGAATGTTAGGTATTTTTAGGAAGCCATTAAAGTTGGCGGGTAGTGCCACTTTAGTAGGAATAACATGCTAGAGGTACTAAAATTGATAAGCGAGGGCAGATTTGGGAAAGACTTGTGATTAGTTACAATATCCTCATGAATCTTTCCACAGGACAGAAAAATTACTAAAAGAGTGAAGTTGAAAGGTCCAACCCAGGCTTTTGTTGCCCTTCTCTGAAGTCTCTCTAGTTTGTCAAGTGTGGATTAAAATGGCCCAGAATAACTTAATATCCCTTCTAAGTCTCAACCAAACCCATAGACTGTTAGTTCCCCAGTCCACAATCCAATGTTTCTTTCATAAATTATTTTGTCTTCTCTGCACTCATCCACTTTTATTTTCTAACGTTTTGGGACATCTTCTTATATTTTTATTCTCAATAGTATTTGGGACTCCTCCCTAATTGCATTTTCTGCGGATTTCAAGACAGGATGCTTACCTTCTCTTCTACTTCACCATGGAGATTTCAAAATAACAGTACAACCTAAGTACTCAACCATAAAATTTAGTCCTCACAGTAAGAATGAAAAGCTACAATGAATCAACAATTTCTACTATGTGCATGCACTTTTCTTTTCCTGCTTTTGGTATCCAAGCAGAGAAACCATCCTCTTTTCAGAAGCAAATGATTTTTAACGTTCCCAATTGTCTTTTACCTTTTCCTTTTTCTTTTTTTTTTAATATAAATAAAAATGGCTTCTAATGAATAGTAAGCAACATCAGAGGCCACATTCTTAGAAAAGAAACATGGGTGGTCACGTCTCCCAGCTTTTGGCCTGCTTTCTCTTAACACACCAGAGGCACAGCACACCACCACTTTCGTGATACAGCGACTGCAGGCTGTTAACAAAACCTTACTCAACAGAGAAGTTTGGCTGTCAATATCTTAGAGGCTACCAATTAAATTCAGAGATCTAATACATTTTTTTAATGAAACCTTAGGCTATTTCTACATATTTATTTGCTTTTATTACAATCGTATTGTAGTAAAAAATGTTAACTACGAAGACCAGACAAACCATTGCCAAATCTGTCATTTTTATTTCAGGAACATGCATTATTCATCTGCTCTCTTCCAGTCTTTACCATCCATACTAATGGAATGCCAGCTTAAAAAGTAAAATCTAGGGTAAGAGAAAAATATAGGTATTTTTATGAAATATGTTTTAACACATAATCTTTAGAACTGCAAAATATCTATATATTTAACATTGTATATGCATATCTACATATTTTGATGGACTACTTGAGGCAGCCTAAAAAGAAATTAACTAAAAAGAAATTAAATGAACCAAGCTTAAACATGAGAAGCAATCCCTAAACAAAAAAGACAGGAATTTAGCTGTCCTAAAGTGCTTTCTAATGCAAAAATTCTTAATCAGTAAAGACTGAAGGTCAGAAGGTGATAACTTAACCGCTGCAAACTGACGCAAAGACCAACAGGAGCACTCATAGCCTGTTCTCTGTTTTACAACACTGCCTAACTCATACTATCATATTTAAAATATTTTAGCTTGAAACAAAAATACTATGATTAACATATTCAAAGAATTGTTACATTCAGATAGTGCTTAAGGGACGTTCACAGTTTCAAAGAATGGAGACAAAATCATCTAAATTTGAAAATCTGGTAGCAGCGGTACATGTTTTTTCTCCTGTTAGTTTTGCATTTACAATATATGACTAAGTTTTTAGTACTCACAGGCTTACCATCTGGACCAGGCTGACCAGGATAACCATGATTCCCGGGCTGCCCAGGGTCACCCTATGAAGAAGCAATATGTTAACACACAAAAGATATGAAAGACCATTTTAAAATTAGCACAGAGCAACCTTATCCTTAATACCTTTAATTTGCAAGCCCAGATACCTGCTATTGAGGAGTATTGCTACAGCAAAAAAGAACTGATCTTGTAACCCCCTCCCTGGGAAAATTCTCCCTAATTTCTTGTGCGGGACTTGGAGAAGTGAGCTCGCACTCAGTTACAGCACACGTTTGGCCCATCACCTCAAATACTTTCAAGCTTTTTGACATCTTAAGCAACAGAAATAAAAACACTTTTCATCAAACAGAGGAAAAATCTTTATTAAAACCTTGTTAATCTAGTAGTTCTACCCTGAAGAAAACTCTCACCTGCTTTGACTGAGTCTAGTTCTTAAAGCAAAAGCACTGGAAAGGCAGGAGCCAGGATTAAAACCTGCTAAATACGAAACTCCTCTCCACACACTTATTGCTGTCTAAAAAAGATATTCTTTCAGATTTCTTCTTATAAGGCCTTTGCAGTTATTTTGATAACCTCTGTTATGACCATGTTAAAGGAAAAGTCAGTTCCCCAGGCTTCACGTTTATGGTAAGAAAGCAGGAACTTAATTTCCTACTCAATATATCCTCCTAGTGTATTAAAGTTCTCTGTTTATTTTACTAATGGACTTGATTTGAGCACAGCAAATTCCAATAAACATTTTACTTCTACAGGAGTGTTAAGCAGGTACCGCTTTCTTCAGCCTGAACCATCAACAGACCTGCAGGTCAGTTACAACGGCAGAATCATCATAAACAGGGAGGACATTAGGAGGGAAATAGGAATCTAGCTTTCAATGTGACTGTGAAAAAACATCTTTTCACATATAAGTCACAGAAATGTAATGCTGATCTAAATGGGAAAGGATATAGAACAATGTCTCTTTAGAAAAGCTTAACAGTTATAATTTGCTAAATTAACAGTAAGTTATCCAGAATTATTATTGTCCAAATTAAGAAGTCCAGGTTTGAGATTTGAGAAAAAACAAATTTGCTTTCAGATATATCATCTGAACTATGAAATTTTATGCCTTTAACTTGAAAAGGTTAAAATATCAGTTACTTGTATTTTTAAATGTTTTAATTTAATTAATTTTATTGTACTCCATTGATATCACAAACACACAAATTAAGTTTAAATTTATATGGTTCCAAAGTCCAGTATTCAAAAGTTAAGAAATACTGTAACTAAGATAACCTATACAAACTTAACTGGCTTCCTTTTCACTCTTTCTGCAGTCTTTTGTGTCAGGCACCATCTTGTCACCTGTATTATTCAGTTATCCCCAAACAAATATTACACTGCAATGCAATTGAAAGATTGCACATGAAGCAGGGATAGAAATAAAATTGTATAGGTCACCCTAATTCTCATTTTTCATACTCCTTCATACTTTACAGGATGTGGCTTTTAAATTTTTTTTAAATAATGAATACTTTCTTCTCTGTCTCTCTTTTTATTCTAATATGCTAAAGAGGAAAAATAAAAAAGGTGAAAGACCACAAAAGTTCTATTGCATGAAATAATAATGATCTCCATCTTGTGGATTCCAATTCCCTGATCAGGAACCCTTACCACTGTAGCAAAACGCCCTTTGACTTGAGGTAGCTGCAGCAGACTGTTAACCTCTTATATAATGAGAGTAGAGGGGTTTTAATCATTTGCTTAATGGAAGACAAGCGGTTTGGGGTTTTCTTGTCTACCCTTACAAGGCAAGCTAGTAATTCTGGAAGCACTGCTTAGCACAGTTATTGAGAAAGGTACTACAGCAAAATACTAGGGATTCGAGTTTGCCATGTTAGACATCTGAGACTCAAGTCTGGTTCTCATTTTAATCCTTCACCAACACTGAAGGGAGGTCATCAGAACAGCTAAGGTGGAACTCTCCCAGTAAGCATCTAGTCCATTCTTTGACAAAGAAGGAAAAAAAATCTCTCCATTAAAAGACTTTTATTAGCAAACCATTTCATTCTCAAACAATTAACAGTGCAAGATAATTTGCTGAAGAGTAGCAAGGAAACACAGCCTTACATCCATGAGCATTTCCTTAAAAAATAAAAGATATATTTGTGTTATTAGGAGTTATGGCACCAAAACCTGGCCTTGAGGATCCTAATCACTATATTCATGCACTGGAAACCAGAACTAGGAGAACTTGTCCCCTACTTTTTTAATCTGCCTGACTATGACTGGCCAACATAAGATTTGGAAAAAAGAAAAAAAAAAGTTGACTCAGTAAGACAGAACGGAAACTTACTTTGGGGCCTGGAGGTCCTTGTTTTCCTGGAGGGCATATGCAGGGGGCAGGTGTTGAGCCTACATCACTAGGACCATTCATGCACTACCAAGAGTGAAACCAGCCATCAATACACATGCCAAAAGCATTCAACAAATGTATCATAACATTATATGAAGTTGATTTTCCTTAGGTTGCATAGGTCCTGGCTTTCACTCCTTTGTTCTGCTGGAACTTCTGCTTACCTGAATATTGCCCTCCAACTACTTTGTATGCATGAATTCCTCATTTTACCCAGAAGAAAAATAAATAAAAAATTAAGTACCAATACTGGGCTGATATCTGAAACTCTATTTGCTTTTCCACAAATATTTTGTCACATAGTTTGATAATTTTAGATCTGGCCACATGCAAAACTATTCTCCTAAACTAATTGATATTCATCATTTGAAGTGTGATCAATTATCAAATATAACTATTTAATTAAAGTTCGTAAAAAGAATCTAATAAATCGTATGTATAGCAAAACAACCACAACTGATGGGCATGCTATCATGTGTAGCAAGCCTGAAAAGAACGTAAAGCCCAAGTCTCCTACCTCCTGGGCATGCGTCCCAACTACGAAGCTACTTGAGGAAAGGTGGGGCATGGCTGCTACCACTGACTCCTGCAAGTCAGAGTCCTGGCCTCCATGGTGCCCATCCTCCAAAGACCATTAGGGGACCTCCTCCAAACTATGCTCCCTATACACACAGTGGTAAACACTAAACCTTGGCAGACCACATCACCCTCTGAAGATTTTTCTTTTTTTTTTTGGAGGTATTTACTTCACACCATTGAGACCACATGAAATCTCAGTGTTTTACCAAGGTAGGCAAGGGGAGAGCTACTAGATTGACTACATTTGCCCAAGGTCAGGCACCCAAAATTTAGGTGCATCTGTCCTACACCTATACACTGAAGTTGGATTCAGTGAATTCTTTTTCACCCAGCACGTCCTTAGAGCTACAGAAAGGCAAAAATTTAAGAATCCAAGATACAAAAAAGTAGATTTTGTATTTATTATCTGAAACACTTTCTATAAAATTTTACTCATATTTTCTAAAATAATGCAGACTGTTTACAACGTTCTCTGAATGGATTTCTTTCTCAGGGTCAAATGATTGATTAAAACACAAATCCACATTTCCTTTGCACAGTACCAAGTGAAGTTACAAGGATGGTTAGGGAAGCTATCATATTAAGCCTTTAAACAAGGTCCCCTTCAGGGAGCTCCCATTAGCATGATGCAGATAACAGGTACGTGACTGTGCATATCCCAATTCACTTTGCAACAACATCCAGCCCTGCAAATAACAGCAATTGAACTGAACCGGGAAAAAAAATCAGACAATTTATTCTAATAAACATGGGTTTCTTCAGAAAACTGATTTTTAATTTTTCTATTGACTAGAGTTCAATTAATGGAAATGCAGCACTTCCAAGCTTAGCAAACCTCTGTCCACTTTTCAAAACAAAGTGTATGCTCCCTAGAATAATAATAAGTTTATATAAAGTCAAATACTACCTTAAACTGAGTTTGAGCAGTTTAGGATTGAGCCTACCTCTCCATTCTGAAACAAGAAGAAACACAGTTTAAGAGTACAGCAATATTTGTAATAAGCAAAACCCATTCATTTGTAAACAAATGAACACTACCAAACCCAATCATAAATTCAGGGCTGTAGCTGTCAAGGAGTTATAATTCAAAATTTTAGACTTTCTCAGGCTTATGTGCAGCTGCTATCAATGCATATGAACTTTTAGTTCATTTTGTTTAAGGAGCTACAGTAGCAATTTTTAAAAGGCAATGACAAAACTAGAATTAATACTGAACCATGCAAATATTTACACACTAAATGTTTAGATTTGGGTCAAGTCTTTTGCCAGGAGTAACTTCTCATCAAAAAAATCCTCTGCTTATTCATTCAGGTCAGAGAATGTACCAAATTATTTCTAAAATCTCTGATCTCTGCCTGAATCCAGCATCTGGGAAAACATACAGCAGCACAGAAGCAATGCTGGCTTTTTCTCACTTTCCTGTGTGACTGCATTAGACTCTACTATCAATTGAATTGAGTTTTCCAGTATCTCCAACACCACAGAACAATCCATCCCCAAATACTTCAGCATACCAACCATGAAATTGTCTGTCTTAATCGTTTAGTAGCCACCATTAGCTCATGTAATAATACAGCCCCCGCTTAGTTCAGGAGCTCTGACACAACCACACTCTGACAGAGTACAACCACAAACCGCATATTCCTCCTTGGAGATCATCCAACATTTTTATTTTCTGAAGGAGTCCAGAATTTCATGGGTAAAGTCCAAATTTAATTTACAACAGCAGCAAGTGAAACTAAGCTGGCAAAAAGCAATCTTTTTACTTGGACTTCTTGCCAAATCGCAGAGAAAGCAACATATGATGGACTTTTTAGTGTTTGATTTCTTTATGCAAAAATTTTTTACATTTTATTACTTGTCTTATCCTACTTCTATTTTGTAAAGAGCAAAAAGGTATGTGGTGCAGTTAAAGTGCCAAATACTAAATTTACTTCAGGATTTAAAGCTAACTTTACAAAAGTGTTCCTGAACCCATTAGTTCTTGACACACACAATCAGATCTCAGAACAGCAAATAATCCAGCCACCTACTTGTTGCTTAAATGAAAGCCGTGAGTTTTGAAAAAGCCCTAATAAGGGTGCTAATTGCAACAGACACACTGGCCCCAAATAAATAGAAGAAAAACAGAATAGCTGGGGCTCTGTACAAGTCTGGCAAAAAATAAAATATCTGGATGTTGAAGATTCACAGGTTCTAATGTCAAACTGGCAAAATGGTCCTAATACTAAACCAATCACAACATGAAGAATATGGGTTTACACAGTAAGATGCTGGTGTCCGCTTATCTTTAGCTCAGTTTGGTTTAGACACCAAAAGAGGACATTTTGAAGGGAACTGTATGTATCTTGCTTCTATTTTGAAATAGCAGCTGAATGCCTTTGAAAATCTAGCTCCAACTGTGTGTCATGAATGGTTTCCAAATCTGTTTGCATGTGTTTTACATTTCATTGCCTAATTAACTGTAAGAGGGCAAAGAGAGGGTCAAAGGGTCCCCATAAGCTTCCGAATTGTGTAGATGAATCATAAAATCCTGAACAGGATTTTATTTTTGTCTTATCCACAATATACCTCATGAAATCTTGGCAACATTTCAGTTAATGGGATATTTAACACAGACATCAGCACAGATACTTCTGATAGGAAAAGGTGATTTAAAAGTATAAGTCTGTTGGTTATGTACAAAAATTTCAGAGCTTAAATGACCTGATGAGTAGCAAGAACTGTATCAGAGATGTTAAAAAGTAATATTTGAAGTATTTTACACTGCTATAACCTAGTAGTTTTATTAATTTATACTGTTTAAAATCTTAAATTATAACAGAAGTTCTGAGATTCTTCTATACTGCTGTCAAATTTCCACCATCAAATACCTAAACTAAAAAAAAAATTTAAAATACATTTGTGCAAAAATAAGGCTGAAAACAGGCAAGTTCTGTGTCACTTGATATTGCACAGGTAACAAGCATTTGTTTGCACCAGCTCAATCAATGTAGTCTTACTTTTTTTAAGAATTCACTGAGTCAGCTTTAAACAATGACTTGTAAAAAATGCCAAATAGTCCTCAAAAGTTCATCTATCATACTCACAAATCCTGGGATCTCACAGACTGTCTCTCGATTATTTTGCTCTGGGTCACAGTAGATTCGCAGTTTTTGTATATCAAACTGTAATTCAAAACATAAAAGACTTTTTTTAGAGAAAGTGTTAATACTCTGACATTAGGTTAGTTTAAACTATACTCTTCTTAAATTAGATCATCCGCAAGTTTAAAAAAATGAACAAAATATATAAAGCGAGAGAAACTGGAAGCTCTGTGTGTCCACTATGGTTAAAAATCAGTTAAAGATGTAGAAACATTTTTAGTCAGGCTACTCACAATGATTAATACATGCAACCAATTAAACATTCTGTAACAGAATTATTTAAAGAAAAATAATCAATCCAAGATTTTCTTTTCTAAAATAATAGAAATCACCGCCCCTAATCCTTGGCAATAAATCCAAACACGCACAGCACGAATTACATTGGCTGCCAATAACATTGGGAAACAAGTTACAACAGCACAGGCAAAACCAACCTTTCCCTTTACAGAAGATGTTTCTACACTGACCTGTCTCTACTAGAGGTAAGATTAGTACGTTTTGGTGAAGCACCAGAAGGCATCCCTGATGCCTTAAAGAGTTTGGTTCAGAGTTTAGCAGTGTAACTTAAAGCTTTAAAAAGCAACCGATAAAAACACTGGCACCAGGTAAGCAAAAGTTTGTACCATTCTGCTCTGTTGCTACACTCCAGAAAAATGAAACCACTGAAGTCAGTTTTTCTAGCATAAACTATCATGACTTTAAAGAGAAAAAAGCCCTTTGAAATCACAGGCTGTAAGTTGGACTAGCAGGAGAAGAAAGCACAGAAAATGGAGTCTGTTAATACCATGCCTAGTAATATGTGTTTTCAAATTTAAAATGTCTACGATACACAACACAAGTATATACATAAGTTTATCATCGCTAGCCTGGAAAGCACTTCAGCCACTAAGATCCTAATTAAATCAAGAACACTTGCAAAACATCACTAGAAAACATCTGAATCAGAGCACAGAAAGAGAATGAAAATTCACCAAAGAATCTCTGAAGAAGATTCTTGTTTCATACTTTGTACCCAACTCCAACTGATTTCTTTCTTAAAGGATTTCAAAATACCTTTTCACTGAAAGGTGGTATGCAGATTCATTAAAATATTTCTCTATAATCATAGTTTAAATAGAAATATCCTGGCAAAGTTTGACTGTTAATGCTTTGCAGAATGCGTCACAGCCTGAGAAAGTGGAGAAAGCAAATACCCTTTTTAGATTACAGAAATCACCTGGAAATACAAAATTGCATCCTGAGGCAGATTTTCTACTTTTCTTCTAGTCCACTATCAGAAGAGGATCTTATACAATTCGACATTCCTAAAATGTTTACATTTTTATTTTAGATAACATGTCTTGCTACTAACATTCTTCAACTCAGAAACTGTATTACTGGGTGTCTATAAAAGTCCCATTTCTGCAGTGACTTAAGAGAAAAAAACAAGACACAACAACAAAAACCAACCAACCCTCTAACCCTAGAATGCACAAAACTGTAAAAATGGGATAATCCTGCACCAACAGAGAAAATGCACGAGATGACTGATTACAATTCTGAAATTTCTAGTTTCCTTGCAATAAGCACTTGAAGCCCTATCAGAAATCTGTGACAAACATTCAGTAGTTTTTGCAGCGGGGTACTCTAGTATATGGACAATGTTACCACCGGAAATGCTGAGTCACACACACAGTGCATCATCCAAGTTTCCATGTACACTTTTAGAATATGATAATAATAGAACTGAAGCCTGGCTACAAATGCACAAAATTCAGGAGTAACTGAGTAAAGACATCTGAAGAGGGTTAATGAAGATAGTACAAAACACATTCATATATTTTAATAGGAGCAGTAAGGATCATGAAATTAGAGTACCAAAAAGCATAGCTCTCAAAGTAACTAAAAACAACATCTACCTATGTAATTCAGTATTTCTTAGTATTGTTTCCATTACTATCAGTCTAATTAGTAATAGCATTACCACATTGCTATAAATATAAGGAAACAATCTATTTAGCCAACATCTGGAACACTGTAAACGTAATACTCTTTACCACTGCTCTACACAGCCTTTACCTATACAGCCTGAAGTTTTAACCAGCTTTTTGGTGTCTGTAAAGAGCTGAAGGCAAAAGGACTTCAAAGTTCCTCAGAATAGAGGAGAAACTTGGTACAGGGTTTTCAGGCGGTGGGGGTGGGCCCAGCACAGCAGAATCAAACAGTGGCAGTTTGAGTACCAAATATTTGCAGTATGACAGAGTTGATACACCTTGTACTTTCATGACAGCTAGTGATGAGAAAGAAACTTCATCAAAATTTTGTTCTCTCCCTCTTTTACCAGCATAACCCATACACTGATAGAAGGAAATTATATGCAGGTGTCGTACAGAGGAAATCCCCTGCTTTGAGACACTGTTTCCCAAATTTGGGCAACCACATTGCATCAAGTTCGTGGTTCAGCAAAAATAAATGCCTCTTGGAGTCAGTGAGACCAATTAAGCACCCACCGCACAGGATATATCAGTTGTGCTGAGTCCTCCTGACCATTTACGTTCCCTCCTAACTACTAAAATTTTGTGTATTACATTTCAGCCTAGTGTAAGTTAGAAGAGTAAGTTCAAGAAAACAGAAAGCGCCAATGCAATGTTAACCTACAGTAGAATTTCTGAATTATTGTGGGTTTAGTATATGCTTACCTGTACAGTTTCCTCCTTTCCAGAATACTTTCCAATTTGGGTTAGGCCACTGATGTAAATACCTAAAACAGGATGTAATGGCTTCGTTTCAATTTCTTGGTCATCTATATACAAAGTTACAAAGTCTTCTGTTACTAAGAGACGAATTTGATGCCAGCCTTCATCAAACAACGTCTAAGAAAAGTGAAGAAAACAGAATTGTTTAAAACAAAATGTCTTCAATTTAAGTAACAATAAAACTACATTTCAACACTTAAATTACTGTTAATGGTTGAGATGATCAATGTGCCAGGTTTTGTCATACAAAAAATTGTAAACTGCATAGGCAAAAAAGTATTTGCCAAGTAATACCATAACTGAGAAGACGATATTTGGTAATAATTAGTCCCTATGTCAGAATTATTTTATAAGTCACATAGATTTTTTCAGTCTATGATCTTGAACATGCACAAACTTGTATTTGCTAAAAATATGAAGACAGAGGCCTTTTTTTTAGCAGTGGTATAATGTCTCAAACACTTCAGATCTTAAATCATGGTGAAAACAAATTGGTACTTGAAAGCCTTTCTACTTAATCTCTTACAAAAAAAATCTTAAAGACAACATGATCTTGGCAGAAAGAATCACAATATTGAAATGAACAAACCAAATATTACATTCATCATCTCACAAAACCTCAGGTTTCTAAAGCATAAGATTTAGTTTAAACAAATAGCATAGTTCTACAAGTAATAGAAAATGGTACCTTTAAAGAAGTATTTATCTCACCTACCTTAGCAATTAAAATCAGCATGGGAAGAAATGCCACCTTCTTGAGCCTGTTAGTTTCAAAAACAATCTAGCTCTTTAGCCTAGCCTAGACTAGATGCTTATCTGTTATACAGCTAAATTTAATAGAGATTAATCCCACACTAAATTGGTATACATAAGAGTAAACTGAAACATACATCTTTCAGTACGTTATACATCCTTGTTACCTTTTGTAGACATAAACAGAAATTAAGCTTACTTCACTTACTAGTATACACCCTCAGACAGCACCTCTGTTTCTATTTTATTTCCATTTGTAGACTGGGTTTTTATTTATTTACAATGGCTCTCATTACAAGATAAAATAAACAACAGATCAGAATATATAACATTTCCATTTTCCTGAGTAATAGTACTAAATTGTCATAAAGATCTATTAAATAAAAAGGTTCATTAAAAGCATAGTGACATTTATAGTGTGTTTAGAGACACAGAGGTCTAAAAAGGGCATAAAATTTTTGTTCTACATAATAGCAATACAAGCATGGAGAAACACAAAAGAAAAAAAAGTGAAAATCATCTTTTCATGGTGAAATTCATGGATATCTGGGACTGCAGGCACAAGATTGATTGTCGCTGTAGCTGCCAGAAATGATTACATACAGATTTTCAGATTGGCTTGAAACTGAATTTTCTAAGAATTTCCAGTAAATCAAGTTTAACACTGCTTCTTAAAAAAAAAAAAAAAAAAAATTATTTCACCTACAAATAATTATAAAAAGGTAGAGGAAATTTGGAAAGAAAAAGTAAAATTATCCATCCAATAACAGAAGAATAAAATACTTCTCCCTAGCAAAAGCTTAGTAGTTAAGACCTTCTCTTGGATAGGAGTCCTTCCTTCTCTGAGGATTTATATTTCAAATTCCTTCAGCCTGATTTGGAGTAAGGATTCAAATACAGGCCACTGCTTCCCAGAAAAGTTGAACCCACTTGGCCATGAAGCTCTCCAGCAGTAAATCTTTCCCACTCTTTGACTGCTAAGCATCCCTCTTTGCTCACTTAAATAATACCTCCTGTGGTAGGAATGGGAATCTCTGGGCTGCATATTCCTATACTGCTACAAATGCAAGAGTAGAGGTATTTGATCTCCTTCCCTCTGTCTCACCTGCAACCAAGATAATTTTTCTTACCAAAGTTGAATACTTCACTGGAAATTACTGAAGAAAGACTGAAAGAGAACCTTCAGATTCCACTAGAAGACAACCAAACTGGTTTGCACAAAGAGGGGAATCCCTTCAGTGAGAAAAATAAGTAGCTGAAAGGAATTTTTATTCAACAGAGAACTAGACAAATCCAGATTGAACTCTCATTTTGTAAGCTGCTATTTACTCTTCTGGAGAAGAAAGTAACTTCTGTCATGTATTTTCAAGGAATTTAGACACTTAACAGAAACTGTCTCTAAAAATGGACTATTTCAATTCACATTTTCTACTGTCCATTTGAAAGGCAGAAAATACTTTCCAGCATATGCTAAGCAAAGAGCTGTGTGAAAAAAAGTCTCTGTGATCTTCACAATTACCTGCTGGAAACTACTGCGTAGAAAGTACCTGCAAAGCATTTACAGTGATGAACACTGTGGACACTCTGGAAACATGGGTAAAATACCCCCCATCTACTTTTAAATGCCTAAGCAGTCAAAAAGAAGACTATGTATTTTAAAAAAAAAAACAAAGGGGAAAGGAATAATGTGTACTTAACTGAGTATTCCAGCACGACGATGACTTACTCCTTACCTTTACACGAGGTGCAGCAAAAGTAATAACTTGTGTGCCATTTATTAAACTTGTTGTAGTGAACAATAATGTTTTCTCTTCTCCATTAATAGTGACTGCTATCTGTGGTCTCTTATCCAGACTTAGAATTCTCCACAAATCCCACGTCTTTTTTACTTTAAATCTTTGAGTGGAAACAAACACATAGGATGGAGGCAGACCTTCTGGAAACACATTCCTAAATAAGGGGGAAAGGGGAAAAAAAAGACAGTACTTAAACAGTCATATAATTCTTAAAATAAGTCTCTCTCACTTTAAGCAAACAAAATGAAATCTCACTAAATTTAGAAATGTATTTATAAATTTAAATACCTTGTCAATTCTGACAGGTCAACACGTGAGGTTACTTCATAAGCTTTTGCATTAGTGGTTGGTATTTGAAATCTCTTTTTAACCTTTTTCTTCACACCTAATCCTACAAGAATGTCAAATCCTTTTTCATCTCGAGCAGCCACTGGAATTCTTGTTGGACAAACAGATTCTGCAAAGTAATAAATGAAAGTATAGTTCAAAATATGACTTACAACTTTCAAAAAGTAACCTCCCACCTACCTAACTTTCTGTAGCTGCCTTTCAAGAAATAAAAGAGAATTGAGAACTGCCAGTTAAGTATACCATGGCAGAAGGGATATGCAGTATCCTCAGAGACATGAAGCGAGAATACTGAGATATCATATTCTACTGCAATTATGTTCACATACTACTTTGAATTGTCACTAATTGCAGTTAAAAGGTATTACAATATCTGACTAATAAAAATATTGAATTTAATGTCTAAAATTGTATGGTTTCAAAATGCTACAAAATTTTAGATGTTAATTTCCACAATGCACTATCAACTTGAATCCAGCATCCCTCCCAACTATAAAATCAGGTTGAAAATGGACAAAAGTAGAATTATCTACAACTGTTTTTTTCATCTTCTTTTGCTTGAAATGGACTCTGATCTATTTCGTCTGTTACACTGAAATCTACTTGAAGCTATTCTCACTGGACAAATATTGTGTGATATATCTCCTGTGGAAATTAAAGTTAGCTGAATGTTATCTCTGTTTAATTCTCTTTACACAAAAACAATACTAGGCAGTGGACCTAAGTTGTCTCAAAAAAAAAAAAAGTGAGATAGAGGGATATTTAATGCTAGAAACAACATTGTACTAGAGTAATAAATCAATGAAAAGCAAGCAAGCAACTTTTTGTTTTATTAAAACTATACTAAACTATTTACAATGAATGTATTTTCAGCATTCATTTCCCATTGTTTCTTCAGAAAATCATCAGTTCATAGAAAGGGAAGAGGTTAGCAATACATTCCAAAGAAGGGGTGGAGAGTTCTCTCATCTCCATCTGGACCAGCCATGGGCTGGAAAACTCACGTTTCAGTGCCAGGGAATTATCAGCTCAAAAGTCTAGACTGGCTTCTCTTTATAATATGAGCAACACTGCACAGCTTCTCTTTCTAACCAACCCAAGGGCAGTCAGAAGCTACCCCATTCTGGTGGGGGAGGCAGGATATATTATCTCTCAAGAAAATTTAGCTAAATCTGTACAAACTATCTATGGTGGGAAAGGACAATCCATCCTAAGGGGACATGCCACAGGTACTTGGGGCAGCAGCAAGAAGCCACGTACATTCCCCTTAGTTTTCCTTTCCTCCCCACAGCAAAACGTCACCAGACTCCCAAATTAAAGATATGTTAGAAGTTACGTGTCTGGTTCTGCAAGAAAGAATTGCAAGAACTCTCTGCCTACATTTTGGAAACTAAAATGTCTACCTTCTGAATGCTTCCAAAAAAAAAAAAAAAAAAAGGAAATACAAAGTCCAACACAACTTTCCTTCTCACTCTTCTCAAAACACAGATGCAGGATTTAAGTCAACATACTTATGATATTAAGTAAGAGTAATAACACTTTATTTTTTCAGGTTTCTTCACTGTGCACTGTTATCAAGGAAACATTTTCTAAACTCATTTATTTCAAAGCTCAGTAACGGTCATATTGCCATTAATACAGATTACAGATAATCATATGCGCTGAACAAGAAAATGAATGCAAGAATCTCTTATCAGTTACAGTATTTGGTGTAAAATCAAAACATAAATGCAGAAATAGGATTACTTTATGTGAGAGGGCCATTATTCTGGATCAATGCCAAAGTGACTATTCCAAAGCAATACAATGCAAATTAAGCATGTGTAAAATTATACATTAAGAAACTATTCTTTATTTCCAATGGCACATTAAAAAATTACATAAAAACATTCCCAGTAAGGTAGATCTTTTTTGGGTCTTCTGGATCATCTTCTGGCAGGACACAAAGGAACTTTTCTCAGCATCCTCCAGACATACTTCTGAGGTCTGCATTGAGTATTGTTTTTAAATGTATTCCTGACACACAATCTTTTCGCTATTTTTGCTAAGGAATATTAATAGTGCAGGAACATTTAACTTCCAGAATAAATATTAAATATTAAATATTCCTTAAATACTTGGGGATTCCTAACCACGTTGTCCTTTCTGGATGACAG